TGACTGGTGTACAGAAAGTACATAAGAAAGTGTTTACTTCTCATAATACAAAAACTAGTGGTCACCAAATGAAATTAATAGGCAGTAGGTTTAAAAGAAAAGGAAGTACTGTATTTCTTCACACAACGCACAGTCAACCTGTGGAACTCCTTGCCAGAGGATGTTGTGAAGGCCAAGACCATAACGGTTCAAAAAATAAGTAGATAAATTCATGGAGGATAGGGCCATCAATGGCTATTAGCCAGGTTGGGCAGGGATGGTGTCCCTAGCCTCTGTTTTCCAGAAGCTGGGAATGGGTGACAGGGGATGGATCACTTGATGATTCCCTGTTCTGTTCATTCCCTCTGGGGCACCTGGCATTGGCCACTGTCAGAAGACAGGACACTGGGCTAGATGGACCTTTGGCCTGACCCAGTAGGGCAGTTTTTACTTTCTTAAAGTGCCTGCTGTAGTACAGTGTCCACCAGTAGGGGGCGATGTTTCTCCATGTATCTCCAGGCCACCTGAGCGGCTCCTTTCACAACAGCTCCTTCTGTATGTGCAGGAGGCTTGCTCAGGAGTCTAGGACGTGGTTCTCACAACACACTTTTTTGATGGCCTCAGAGTGCTGACACCAACTTCTGCTGGTGGCCGCTCTGACCCTTTTTTTCCGTATAATTCTTAATTAACTGTAGGGAAAACAAACAAATGTGCACAGATACACGTCTGAACCATTGTCATTTATTTATGTAGGGTCTTTTTTGCAGACTCAATAATGAAATTAATGTACAGCTGTATTTTGGTGTCCTTGGCCCTTGCTGCCTCCCTCCTGCCCTGACAGATCCCCCGGGGCCTGATGCTTCCCCCTGATTGCCGTGAGCTCCCTTCTGTGCCCTTTGACCATGGCGCCCAATAAAGTTGGCCCTGCTGAAACCCAGCGCTGGAGCCCTACGGCTGGATCCGGGGGAAGGGGACGAAGCCCAGAGCCCAATAGCTGGTTGGGGGAGGCAGGAGCCCACTGCCAGAGCCCCAAGGCTGAAGGAGGAGGGTTAAGACCACCCCTGGAACCGCACAGCTGGAGGAGGTGGGGGGATTAATGCCTGCCAGCGGAGACTCTGGCTGAAGCAGGAGAGGGGGGCTGAAGCCAGACAGGAAGTGCTGGGTGCTGCAGGGAGGGGGTGCTGCTTTGCCCCCTCCCCCATATCTGCCCAGGTGTCTGTCATGGCTGCAGGAAAAAAAACGTGGTGGATGCATTTGAGAAACACTGGTCTACGAAGATTGTGATGATCCCCTCCCAGAGCTGGGGATAGAACCCAGGAATCCTGGCTTCCAGCCCCCCTACTTCTAACCCTCCTGATCCCGCTCCCTTCCCGGAGCCGGGGAGAGAACCTGGGCAGGGGTTGGGGATCTTGGAATCCCGGCTAGAACCAGGCAAAAATGTTCACCAAAAATTGCAGATTCAAGTTGATGGAGAAATTTTGTGAATTTGTGTCAATTTCAGCAAATTGTTTGTGTCTCCCCCCACCCTCATGGTCAAGAAAATTGAAATGTTTTGAAATTTCAATTCCGATCACAATCTCCTATTTTTTTTTTTACCCCCCCCTTAAAATCAAAGCGTTTCATTCGACCCACATGATTCTCCTTCCCCCCCCCCCTCCGAGTTTTCGGCCCAGCCAGCCAACTGAAAAAACCCCCAGTTTTTCTTATCGCTCCCATCATTCAGATGGAGGAGGATTGAGGGTAGAGAACAGCGGTTCTCAAACTTTTGGACTGGTGACCCCTTTCACACAGCAAGCCTTTGTGTGCGACTCCCCTTATAAATATATACACACTTTTTAAAATTTAACACCATTATAAATGCTGGAGGCAAACAGGGATTTGGGATGGAGGCTGATAACTCACGACCCCCCCCCCCCCATGTAATAACCTCACGACCCCCTGAGGGGTCCCGACCCCCAGTTTGAGAACCCTGGTATAGAAGGATCTGGGGGTGATAGTGGATCACAAATTGAATGAAAGTCGAGTGTGATGCACTTGCGAACAAGGCTAATATCACTGGGGTGTATTAACAGGAGGCTTGGATGTAAGACACGGGAGGTGATTGTCCCACTCTAGTTGGCACTGGGGAGGCCTCAGCTGGAGGACTGTCCAGTTCTGTGTGCCGCACGGTAGGAAAAATGGGGGCAAATGGGAGCGAATCCAGAGGAGAGCAACAAAAATGAACAAAGGATTTAGAAAACTTGATCTAGGAGGAAAGATTTAAAAAAAAAATCTGGCCCTGTTTAGCCTTGAGAAAAGAAGGGCAGGGGAGGACCTGTGAACAGTCTTCAAAGTTGTTCAGGGCTGTTATGAAGAGGACGAGGATCAGTTGTTCTCCGCGTCCACCGATGATATGCCCAGAAGTAATGGGCTTCACCTGAAGCCAGGGAGATTTAGGGTAGATAGCAGGAAAAACTGGGATCGGCAGTGAAAAGGCCCCTTCCCTGCATTTCCACCTGGCTGTCGCCTGTAGGGCCCTGTCTTCTCCCCGTAGGCCCAGCAAGGTCCCATAAGGATTTATGAACCCAGCTCTGCCATGATCCTTCCCTCATGGAGACAGAAGCCCAGTTAGAAGCAGGGAGCTCGGAGCTCAGGCAGGCTCCACAGGCGCTGTCACCTGACAAGGACCCCCAAAAACCAACTGTTGTTATCTTATTGGTGGGCATCCCTAGAAGATCCCAAGTGGGCCAGGTGCTGGGGCCAGCAGACACCCCCATTGCTCCTCCAACAGCTGCAGCCGTGGCAAGGTTTAGCCGTAAATCGCTCTGCCAGATATTAACCTTTTCACCCACTGGTGGGTCGGAAACGATCCTGATTGGTGGACAAAAGCAGGAGGGGGAGGGGCTATTCCGGCCCCCGCCCCCTTTTGGGGAGCACTTGGGGGCGGGGATGAAGGGAGCCGGGTGGACAGATGGGAGTCATTGACATCATCTCCTGGGCTCCACCATGACGTCATTGGGCCTTCAGTGTCCTGGGCCTCGGAGCTGAGCTGGGATCAGGCCAGATGGGGGGACCCAGGTGATGTTCCGGCTAAATCCCAAATCAGAGCCCTTGGCATGGCGTGGGGGGGGGGGGGGAATGGGGGGGCACACAGAGCCCCTGGCATGGGGGAAGGGAGAACGGGGAGCCCACAGAGCCCCTGGCATGGATGGGGAATGGGGGGCACGCAGAGCCCCTGGCATGGGGGGGAGCTGGGCGGGGGCACAGAGGGCACTGGTGCTGGTGCAATGAGCTCAAATGCCCGCAGCACCGAAGGGCGCGACCCCCTAGTTTCATGCTTTATGTAAGGGGACTCCTGCCCCCTTACTAACACTCAGTGGGGTGTTTTGGTTGGCTGCTCCCAGCACTAAAAGGGGAGGGGTCGATGGGAAATCGGGAGCCTGAGACTGACAGTCCCCAGGGGCAATGGGGAGAGGCCAATGCTCCAGGTCAGCCTGATTGACAGGGGTCCAGGCTAATCAGGGAGTCAGGAGGCCAGGGGGGGTCCCGTCCTCTGTGTGAGCTGGAATGGCCTGAGTCAGACAGAGGGGGGCCGAGCTAAGGGGAGAGCAGGGGCCCGAGCTGGGCTGGGAGCAGAGCTGGGCCAGACAAGCAGCCCAGGGAGCTGGGGGCAGAGCAGCAGCAGCCGTGCTGAGGCCGAGTGGAGCCGGAGCTGGGGCTGGAGCCGGAGCTGGGGCTGGAGCCAGAGCTGGGGCTGGAGCTGGGGCTGGAGCCGTCCGGAGCCGGGTGCAGGGAGCAGCTGGGGAGAGCGAGGGGGACCCTGGGCAGTGGGCCCAGCGCAGGGAGACTCCTCAGCCAAGAGGCTCTGCAGGCCAGACTTGGAGGGGATCATAACCCCGACCGGGCGGGGGCGACGCTGGGAAGAAGGGTCCTGCACCTAGAGCCTGAGAGCATGTGGCCACCACCAGAGCAAGTGTCCGACCCGCAGCGTCTCTGCAGCACAGCCAGGGCCTGAGAAGGAGCCTGGGACCTACAAGGCACAGCCTGTGAACTGCCCTGACTTTCCAGAGACACTGGTTGTGATGTTCCCGGCCACAGAGCGGGGTGATGTGTTTCCTTTAACCCTTCCCGTTTTTCCTTATTCCTTTTTAAAATTAATTGTTAATTAAACAACTGATATTTGCTTTAAATTGTATGAAATGCTCAGTGGGTCAGGGAGGTGCCCAGTGCAGAGAGAGTACCCTGGAGTGGGGACACCCTAGCCCCTGTCCTGGGTGACCACAGCAGGGTTGGGGGTCGAGCCCCCCAGGAATCCTGGGCCCAGCCTTGTCGGGGTCACGAGGACTCTGCCAGACAGGAGAGTGGAAGGGGAGTCCTCAAGGGCAGGGAGGCCTCTGGGTAAAGGAAGTGGGAGCGAGGACTCAGATCCTTTCGCTAGCCCACTTCACCGGGGTAGTGCAGATGCCAGGAAAGTCCCCCACGATAGCAGGACCATTCCCCCGCTTACATTTACAAGGGCTAAGCCGGGTCGGGAGATTCCCAGCCACCAGGGCGGCACCAGAGCAGCGGTGAGCGGGGCCCCAAGAGGCAGGGGAGGGCGTTCCCGAGAGGAGGCAGCAGGGGGCGCCAGATGTGGGCAAGTCCACCTATAACAGGGCTTCTCAAACTGGGGGTCAGGACCCCTCAGGGGGTTGGGAGGTTATTACATGGGGGGGGGGTCACGAGCTGTCAGCCTCCACCCCAAACCCTGCTTTGCCACCAGCATTTCTAATAGCGTTCAATATGAAAAAGTGTTTTTAATTTGTAAGGGGGGGGGGTCGCACTCAGAGGCTAGCGGTGTGGAAGAGGGTACCAGTACAAAAGTTTGAGACCCACTGCCCTAGAATAAGTGGAATTGGGCGTCTGCTTCTTTTTTTTTTAAAGTTGCTTAAATTTTTCGAGAGCGGCGGCCGGGGGAGGGGGGGGGTGTTGGGGGCTTGTTTTATCTGGAGGTGGCTTCTTTGAAGCCGCTTTTTTGTATCCGGGGACTTCAGCACAAAGCAAAGGGTGACCAGATAGCAAGTGTGAAAAATTGGGACGGAGGAGGAGGGGTTACTAGGCGCCTTTATAAGACAAAGCCCCGAATCTTGGGCCTGTCCCTATAAAATCAGGACGTCTGGACACCCTAACAAAGTCATGCTATAAAAATGGTGGTAGGCGCGGTTTTGGGTGACTCCTGCCCGTCACCAGAATTTGAGAAGCCTCCGCTCCCTGCTCCCCTTCAATTACAATAATCCCGCCCGCTCGACGCATCCTATGCTCCATTTTCTTGTCCCGCGCCGGAAGATGCTTTCATGGTTTCACACAGGAATGTCCCGCGGAGGGGGGCGAGCGAGAGGATGACCTCTTTTCTTAATAATGGAAGTCCGCGCACGGTTATTATTTTTAATGTGTAACTTCATGTTGTAGGCAGCAAAACTAGAAGTACTAAAAAAATATAATGGAATTTGTATAACCCCCGCAAACACAAACACACGCACACCCCTCTCCCTCTGAGTTGGGTTGGGCTTGTTTTGGGCCTGGTTTCAAAGGCAGCAGAGGGTTCGAGCTGGGACCCCTGGTTTCGAATCCCAGCTTGGGTAAGGGAGTGGGGGTTAGTGGGTTAGCATGGGGGGGGGCTCTGGGAGCCAGGACTCTTGGGTTCCATCCCCAGCTCTAGGTGGGGAGTGGGGTCTAGTGGGTTAGAGCAGGGGAGCTGGGAGCCAGGACTCCTGGGTTCTCTTCCCCAGCTCAGGGAAGGGGCTGGGGGCTAGTGGGTTAGAGCAGGGGGGGCTGGGAGCCAGGACTCCTCGGTTCTATCCCAAGCTCTGTGTGGGGAATGGGATCTAGTGGGTTAGACCAGAGGAGCTGGGAGCCAGGACTCCTGGGTTCCATTGCCAGCTCTGGAAGGGGAGTGGGGGTTAGTAGATTAGAGCTGGGGAGTTGGGAGCCAGGACTCTTGGGTTCTCTCCCCTGAGCCTCTCACAGGCACGTACTCATGGCAGTTGTTGCCCCCCAGGTTGGGCCCACACTCCAGTGTGTAGTAAAACTGCAGCTGGCCGTTTTCAAGTTTGCAGGTGAGTGTGGCATTCCTGCCGACCCTGAGGTAGGTGAAGCAGCGGCCTAGGAAGTCGTCGTCCAATAGGTCCTTGTCCCACACCTCCATTTCCAGTTTGGGCCGCTCTGGCAGTGTCACCGGCCCGAAGTCCAGGTCTTTGTTCCAGATGGGGTTGTTATCATCCTTAATGCGGTCTGTCTGCAGCTTCCGGCCTTGGAACAAGAACATGACGTAGGCGTCGGTGGCGGACACGGTGTCTCCCCACAGGTTTGTGCCCTTCAGCACATGGACCTTCAGCCGGGCCATGCCCCGCTCACGTGAACAGCACATGGAGTTGGTGAGGGGGTTGTCGGAGCAGGTGCATTTGCAGGGGTCCAAGGGGTCAGCCTGGCCCCCTTGTGGGCAGCTACGAGGGCAACTCTTCTTGCGCCCCCGCTCAGCTACGTACTCCTTCACTGCCTGCTTCAGCGCCTCCTGCCTGGGCTTGTCCAGACTCACCAGGGTGTGGATGGGCATCAGAGAGTAGGAGACCAGGTCGGGGCTGGCTTTGAGGCTATCCTTCCAGGTCGAGAAGGAGCTGGCGTTTTGCTCGGTGGAGAAGAGCCGCTTGGAGTAGCTGTTGCCACCCGTCACCTTGATGCGCTTCTCCATGTAGGGTGCCTGGGAGCTCCCCGTGCCCTCGCTGCTCTGCTTGCTGGTCTGACTCAGGCCCAGGTCTTGAAAGAACTGTGAGCCCAGGCACGCCTTGATTTCGGTGGCTGTCAGCCCGTCCAGCGCTGCCCGGCAGGTCTGAACGGCCGTCAGCTGCTGCACGCGCCCCCCCAGGTCTGCCTGACTCACATAGTGGGTACCGTACGTGGCCAGGAAGGGCTGGTATGTGGCTGAGTCGTAGCTGGGTGGGAGGCTTTTCAGTTCCCGGGAGAACTGGGACATCAGTGGGGGATCTTGAGTGAGACTCAACCTGCCCAGAGGGGAAAGAGAGAGGAGTTAGGAGCCAACCAGAGAGACTCCCGGCACCTTCCCCCGGAGCAAACTGGCCCCACTTCCCCAGAGCGCACTCCGTGGCTTCCCTGGCAGGTGGGGACGCAGTAGGAGGCGCTCTTCTCTTGCAGTCAGTGCTACTCCATTACCCCACTGCAGCAGTAGGGGGCGCTGGGCTGCAGAGAGCAGGGTGGTGGGGGCAGCAGGGGACAACGTGCTGCAGGGCGTGGAGGGGGGGGCTAGCCTTGGATTCTCACCTGTAATACACACACGGTATCTCGTGGCGTATGAACATGTACTTGTCCTGCACCTCCTTCTGGTAAGCGTAGCTGGTGAGCCGGGATTTGGACCCCGCCAAGGCCGGGCCATGGGGCTCCTCTTGCAGCTCCAGCTCTTTCATCCAGTCGTTGTTCACCTCCGACGCCAGTGCCCGGCCCACAGCCGCGGCTGACTCTTCCGCTGAGCTGCTGAGCTCCCAGTTGCATGAGATGTTGACTCTCCAGTCCTTCACGGCCAGCGGCAGCCTCTGGTGCTGCCGCCCCTGCAGCCGGTTCTCGCATATGGTGCAGGCGCCATTTGGGCGGCGCCACAGGCTGGTGTCCACCACATCAGCCCCCGTCCACTCCAGAGTGGTCACGTCGATGCCCTCCCCCACCAAGCTGTATGCGGGCACGAAGATGGTGGTCTCACCACACTCCTCAGCTGTGCCCGTGTAGCAGTCGGGGGAGACTGAAGGGAGAAGGAAGAGGAGGAGCAGAGGGATGAAGACACTGGATCTCGCCATGGTTGGTGCGATGGTGCCCCCTACCTGGGAGCAGCTTTCGGTCTTCGAGCCTCCCTAGACGGAGAAAAACAGAGAGAGGCGTCATTAATGACAGTCTAGTGGCAGGAAGTTCCGCAGGCACAACACATCCTAGCAGCATCCCAGAAGCCTGCAAGCTGCTCTGACCCTCCCTGGATCTGAGAGAAGAGCTCTCCAACAACCTGTGCTATAGCCTGCCTACCCCATTGCCCGCTGATCCTGAAGGAGAGTTGCTGCTGGGTGTGAGCAGTACAGGGGCTAGGACACATACAACCTGGCAGTTCTGATTCTATCCACTAGGGGGGCAGTTGGTTTGGTTGAGTGTAGTAGAGGACATGAGACACATGGGTGAATGGTTCTCATTCCTCATATCACATAGCTGTGCAGATCTGAACATGTGCACACTCCTCTTCCCACCCCACCCCCAAGATGAATCTCCCCTCATTGTGCTGGGAACTGAATCCCCCATGTGAGCTGCAGGCAGTAGGGTGACCTTGCTGAAATACTCACAGCCCCATTCCCTCCAGCAGGAAGAGAGAGAGAGGAGAGTGCACACCCACATGAGGGTCCTCAATTCCCTTCTAAATCGCTGTATGTGCCAGGCTCCTTCACCTGGCACTGAGATGCAGCCAGCTCTGGGGTGTGACAGTGGGGAAACAGCCAGACAATTATATTGCCCAGGGACAGCTCATCCGTCGCTGAGTTGCAGCCACCTCTGGGGCAGGGCAGCGGGGGAACAGCCACTCAGAAAGCTCTGGGGAGCACTGGCATGGGTATTGGGGTACGGTGATGTCCCCACACCTACACAGACTCCTGCTCCCCAGCACGTCCCCCCAGGCTCCCCTGCCCCTGGGTTACCTGTCTGCAGCAAAGCACAGGGCTCCCGCGTGGGATCACGGCAGCAGCAGCGTTTCCAGGGGCCGCCCTGATGCAGATGTCAGGTGGTTCAGAGTGCAGGGAGTTGAGCTCTCCAGAGCTCTCTGGGTTTGTCAATTGGGAGGCGGGGCAGGCAGAAAGGGGGACCCCCGCCTACAGCAAAAATCCAAAATCTGGATCATGTTGATACTGGACATTGGCCTGTCTTGGGACTATAACCTGATGAACAGATTCGGGAAAGGAGTCTTTGCAATTCTGAACCTCACCATCTTTACTATGAAACTGACCTAAGAACTCTAGTCATAGCTGGATGGAGAATGAGCTTTTAACCAATCCTCTCTCTTTCCTTTTTCAATAAAGTTTAGTTTAGTAATACAAGAGTTGGCTGTAAGTGTGCATTTGGGTAAGAGCTGAAATATTCACTGACCTGGCGGGGAATGTGTCCGATCCGTTGGGAGTGTTGGAATATTTTTTATGATGAGCAAGATTTTCAGTAATCCTTATCGTATTTGCCTTGGCCGTCTGGATTGGAGCCCAAGGCTTGTTTTGTTAAGGGAACGGTTTTGGTTTCTGAGTAACCAGTGAGTTATTGCAGAAGCTGTTTTGTTGCTGGCTTGGTGGATCGAAGTATTAGAATAACCACCGGTTTTGGGGATTGTCTGCCCCATTCTTTGCAGTTTGCCTTGATTGAGCAATCTCAGGGTGCCCCCCCCCCCCCGAGATCTCAGTCACGGGGATGGGAGCCAGGACTCTTGGGTTCTACTGAAAGCCGAGAACGTGCTGGAGAGCCAGTGTGTGGGTGCTGGGTCGCCTCAGGGGATGTGTGTTGCCTGCTGTCCCCCTCTGCTCTCAGGACAGGGTGTGGGGAGGGGCGGGACACCAGGAAGGGAGACAAGGGGTCAGGGCGTGTTGCAGGGTTTAGTCACTGGGTGCGTCTGAGCCCCTCCCTTGCCCCTGTGGCCATGCCAAGATCTGTGGGTGACCTGAGCCTCCTATCTCTGTTTGTTCCAGGATCTGTGGGCTCCCTGAGTCTGAATTTCGTTTGGTGACCCCTAGTTCTTGTGTGATGAGAAGTAGTGAACCACACTTCCTTATCTACTTTCTCCACACCAGTCATGACTTTATAGACCTCAATCATATGTCCCCTTAGCCGTCTCTTTTCCAAGCTGAAAAGTCCCAGTCTTATTAATCTCTCCTCATACGGAAGCCGTTCCAGACCCCTCATCATTTTTGTTGCCCTTTTCTGAACCTTTTCCAATTCTAATAGATCTTTTTTTGAGATGGGGCGACCACAGCAACACGCAGTATTCAAGATGTGGGCATATCCTGGATTTATATAGAGGCAAGCTGATATTTTCTGTCCTATTCTCTACCCCTTTCTTAATGATTCCCAGCATTCTGTTCGCTTTTTTGACTGCTGCTGCACATTGACTGGATGTTTTCAGAGAACTATCCACACTGACTCCAAGATCTCTTTCTTGAGTGGTAACAGTGTCCACACCCTCTCCCTGCCCCAGGCATGTGCTGGGATCTGGTGGTCATAGAATCATAGAAGATCAGGGTTGGAAGGGACCTCAGGAGGTATCTAGTCCAACCCCCTGCTCAGAGCAGGACCAATTCCCAACTAAATCATCCCAGCCAGGGCTTTGTCAAGCCGGGCCTTAAAAACCTCCAAGGAAGGAGACTCCACCACCTCCCTAGGGAACCCATTCCAGTGCTTCACCACCCTCCTAGTGAAAAAGATTTTCCTACTATCCAACTTAAACCTCCCCCACTGCAACTTGAGACCATTGCTCCTTGTTCTGTCATCTACCACCACTGAGAACAGTCTAGATCCATCCTCTTTGGAACCTCCCTTCAGGACGGAATTCTTCATTGGGCAGAGTGAGGGGAGCTGGGGGGCAAGAAGGAGTGGGAGAAGAAATGGGGGAGGGGCACTTGGAGTAGAATGGGGGCCAAGGAGGGGATCAGGGGTCCGCGGGGGGGCTGAGGGGCTTCCACGCAGCGAGACACCCCAGGGCAGCTGAGTCAGCGCTGCAGTTCCTTTACCCTCCTCAGCCCCTCTGCCTGGGCACCGGGGCACCAGCTCAGAAAGTGGGGTCAGATCCTGGAGGAGGATCTCCCCCCCTCCCCTGCAAGATCTCAGGATTTCACCCGGGATTTCTCACCTACATTTTCAAATGTTTTGCAATAACTAAACAGCACTTACCTTGTCTGTGACAGAAGCTGGCGAGATCCCAGCTCCTAAAGAGGACTCTGGTCCCCTGGGTTTGCCGTGTGCCATATAAATACAGTCATAGGTGCTGGCTTCTAGTTTTCCCCAGGGGTGCCCCTCCCCCTTCCCTGAGGCCCCGCCCCCACTGCCCCCCCTCTCCTGAGGCCCCCTCTCCTCCCTCTTCCAGTCTGGGCAAAGGCACACCGTGACCTCACAGCTCTCCCAGCACCCCCGGGTGAGCCCCCCGCCCTCCCAGTGGCTGGGCAGAACCCCGATCCGCACCCAGGGCCGGCACAGAGCTCTGCAGTCCCTGGCTGTCATGTTTCCTGGGCTGTGTGGGGTCCAAGCACTCGGTGAGGAGGCCTGCCACCTCCGTGCCAAGTGGATAAAATGACAGCAGCCACCCCCTCCTGTGCCCCACTCCCCCAGTACCTGCCCTCATATCATCTCTTCCCGCCCCTGCTCCGCCCCCTCCCAAGGCCTGGATACACGCCCCTCGGCACTGTCCCCTCTCCCCCAAAGCCCCTGCCCACCAGGGCCGCCTGCCTTACATAGCGGTGCCCTACGTGGCCAGGAAGAGCTGATAGGCAGATGAGTGGTAGCTGGGTGACAGGAGATGCAGGGCCTGGGAGAAGTGGGGTTTCAGCGGGGGGCTTTGGGGTCCCTTACCCTTCCCAGAGGGAAAAGAGATAGGAATTAGGAGCCATACAGAGACCTCCCCTGGCTTCCCTGGGGCAGGGGCTCTGTGGTGGGCACTCTCCCCTTGTGGTCAGTCCTGGCCCCATTGCCCTAGAGCAGCACTAGGGGGTGCTGTTCTCCAGAGAGAAGGGCGGGGGACTCGGAAGAGGATGCTGTGCTGCAGGGCCCAGCAGGGGATTCTCACCTGTCATACACACAGGACACCTCGTGATGCACGACTATGAACTTGGCCTGCGCTCTTTCAGGTAGGTGTGGCTGGTGAGCCAGGATCGGGAACGTCCAGGGCCGGGAATGGGGACTCATCTGACAGCTCCAGCTCCAACTTCCAGTCATGGTTCACATCCGACCCCATTGCCTGGGCTACGTGCACGGCTGACTCTTCCACCGAGCTGCTGAGGTCCTGGTGAACCCTCCAGTCCACCATGGCCAGCGGCAGCCTCTGCACCACAGACTGGCAGGAGTTGCCTCTCACTCTGGCTGAGTTCTCAGAAGCCCTTTGTCTCATGCCCACTGATCCATCTCCAGGCATGGACAGACTGACCATCGAATTCACCAGGTGTTCTGGGACATCCTCGCCTTTGTCCTGGGATGAGTTCATAGGGAGCAGAGTGCTACCCCTGTCGTGCAGGCCACCAGTGCCCACCTTTGAAGGGGACCTCTGCACCACAACCTTTGGAACTGGTGTCCCATCTCACTCCTCAGCAGAGCCTACACGGTCATAGCGAAGGCCATTTGACTGTGATTGGCAACCGCCCTGGTCCCCATGATGTGGGGGGCCCCACGCTTCAGGAGGATGTGTTATGCTTATAAGAAGCACACAGGATCTTTTTCAGGGGGTAAGGCAGTGCGCCGCGTTTATTAAGAATACCGTAGTAAAGCAGCTAGCATATGCTCACATAAAAACACACACACACACTCAGACACATGCACTGTCCCGCCAGTCGATGTTATAGGTACCAGTCTGTAGCTCGGACTAACCTACTGGCCAGTTAGATTCACACTTATCTTCTAAAACACACATCCCTCATTCACACATAAAACAGGATTGATTTACACAGAAACAGCATGAACATTTAAGCAGGAACATCAAGTTACAATTTAAAGAAACCAATCATCACACTCTTCTGCTTCTTTCACAAAGCTAACTTCAAACCTATAACAAAGTGGTGACCATAAGGGTCTATTCCAGCCTTGAAATCAGCTTCAGACACAAGATTGTGGCTGATGCATCTTTACCAAGGGCACACTAGGCCGTTCCTTCCTGTTTCAGAAAAGGTGGCTGGCAGGGTACATCAAATTATAATTACAGAATACCTCAATACATTTAATACATACTACATTATTTATTATCCTTCATTCTAACTAACTCATACCTAAACTGAATAGGATTTTTCTACTACAGATGTGGGGTCCAGGGTGACCTGGGGGGGGCTAGCAGGGGCCCTGGTGCTAGCGGCAGCAAGCGATCTGGCCCCAGCCCACCCTACTCTGTTGGCTCCAGGTGTCACTCAGGGGAGGGGGTGGAAGCCAGAAAGAGGCAGGGTGGAGGTTTGGGGGGAGGGGTGGATTGGGCACAGGTGGGGTGGAGCAGGGATGGGAAGAGGCAGAGTGGGGGTGGAGCAGGTGTGGGAAGAGGCAGGGTGGGGGCTTGGAAGAAGGATGGAGTAGGGGTGAGGCCTGGAGTGGAGGGGGGTTGTTGTGGGCCCTGTACCTCCCCTAAGGATGGCCCTGGTGACTGGGTCCACACTGCTAGGCTCGGGGACCTCCTTGACTTCATGTGTAGGGACGGTCTGTTGTTCGCCCTTCTGTCCATGAGCAGGAGAAGGCGTTCGACAGGGTGGACTATGGGTATCTCCTGGGCACTCTGCGGGCGTTCAAGTTTGAGCCACTGTTTGTGGGTTTCCTGCAGGTGCTGTGCGCCTCCGTGGAGTGTGTGGTCAGGCTCAACTGGTCCCTGACTGAACCGGGCAGCTGTCAGGCCAGCTGCACTCTCTGGCCATTGAGCCCTTCCTCCGTCTGCTCTGGATGATGAGCTGGAGCTGTGGGTGGTCCTGTCAGCATATGCCGCCAACGTGCTTCTCGTGGTGCAGGACCCAGGCACTCTGGTGCGGTTGGAGGCCTGCCAGGCTATCTAATCAGCAGACTCCTCCTCCCAGGTCAACTGAGTCAAGAGTTCTGACCTGGTGGTCAGGGACAGGTGGCAGATGAGCTCCCTCCCACCCACGCTTCAGGTCATCCAGTAGAACATGGGTCTGCTACTCTCTCTGAGCATTCACCTTCCCTCCACCCATCCCTCTCCGTCTGAGAACAGGCAGGATTTGGAGGGTAGGGTGGTTGAGCGGCTGTGGAGGTGAACTGGACTGTTCCGGGGCCTCTTCCTGTGCAGGAAAGCACTGGTGTTCAACCAGCTAGTCCTGCCCATGCTCTGGCACCGGCTCAACACCCTGAGCCTGGCCCTGGATTTCCTGGCCCAGCTCCAGAAGGTAGCACTGGAGTTTCTCTGGCCAGGACTGCCCTGGGTCTCTGCAGGGTTCTCAGTCTCCCTCAGAGGAGGAAGGACAGGGCCTGGTCTGCCGCTGCACACAAGTCCAAGTCTTCCATCTCCAGGCCCTTTGTTGGTGCACGACTTCCTCTGCCTCCCCCAAGGGCTCCAGTATGAACGGCAGCTCTTTTTTCTCCATCTGAGGGATCTGTAACCTGGTGCACTCGAGGTAAACATGCGCCAGCGTCTCCCTCATGCCAGAAAAGGGCAAGTGCCTGGGATAGGTGTGAAATGTCCAAGTACCTTCATGGAGCCATCAGCTGATATTCCCGGCGGGCCGCAGAACCAGGTGGAATTAAGGCTGGGTCACCGGGGCTCCTCACCCTCTATAGATGGCACAAGGTGCCGCCTCTACGTATTGGGGTGGGACATGAGGGTGAGCAAATGAAACGTGTGGAGCACGAGTGTATACAGATGCTTCCTTCGTGTGATTCAGAAATGAACTGGCTGCAGACTATGTAGGATTCTCAAGTTGTGAGAGGGAGTGGGTCGGGGGCGGGAGGGGTTCACAGGGCAGGGGCCCGATAATAAGGTCCCTCTGGCAGGGGTGGGGGCTGGCGGGGAGCGCCCTCTCACAGATCCTACTCAAGGAAAGCCACAGAGGTGGGCGGTAAGGCTGTCCTCACCTCTGGGAGCACCCGCCAAGATGTATGAGGGGTGGAGAGCCCCATGAAATGACCAAGCACCAGGGGATCCACCCAGTCCCGTCCTGTCCCCCGCTCATAGGGCAGGAGGTCTCTGATCCTGGTGCTTCCTGCCAGGACCAGCCTCCGGCGCCCTGAGGGAGACCCCGCTACCCCTACCCCTAGTTGGGGATTGTGCAGCAAGAGCTCCATGAAGAGACCTACCCTCTCAGGGGCTGCCGCAGAACTAGACATCGGCACCAGTCAGAGCCGTCCTGTCCATAGGATGATTTGGAGCAACTGCCCCAGGCCCCGTGCTTTGGGGGGCACGTGGGGCCCAGGGCGGCCCAGAGGGTTAGTGTGGGGGTGGTGGCATGGCACTGGCAGCAGGGGTATGGCTGCCTCCTCATCAGCATCACTCGGAGGGGGGGACTTGGGGGAAGGGGTGGAGTGGGGCAGAGCAGGAGCGGGAAGAAGCAGGGTGGGGGCAAAGCAGGGGTGAGGGTTTAGGGGAAGGGGTGGAGTAGGGACGGGAAGGGGCAAGGGCAGGGCCTGGGGTGGGGAGAGTGGGGGGGGGGGTTGTCCCAGGCCTTGTACCCCCCTAGGGACGGCCCTGAGAGGCATGGCCCTGTAATCTCCTGCTCCTGTTTGATCATTTGTTTTCCCCTGAATTTAGTTGAACCTTGGGCTTTGTCAGTGTTTTCTCCCCCTGAGCTGGTGCTGGAGTTGTGGGTGGGCTAGCGCCCTCCCCCCTGCCCGGGACGTTGATAGGTGAGTTTACTTTGTACGATGGAGAAGAAGAGCCAATAGGAAACTGGAAGTAAAAGTCTTTCAGGGACGCTGGCTCCCAGCCTTTACTTTGCATTTACCAGAAATCACACACAGCACAAAGTGGGGAAAAGGTCGACAGCCTTCCCCTCCTAACCCGGGCCCCGACGCACGGCCGGACGGCAGAGGGAAAGCGTGTTTGCTTCTAGGGTGGCATCCTAAAGGTGGACCATTCACATCTCTGTGTACCAGGCCAGGTCGGTGAGAACTGCTCGGCCAGACACGCTCTGGAAGTGATGGCCGTGGGTATGAGAAAGTCAGATCCCTCAGGGGTGGGTGGGCACCAGGGAGTATGAGCCCAGGCCGGGGCTGGCTGTGAGGTTCTCCAGCCAGGCCAAGAAGGCTCCAGCCCATGCCAGGGGCTCTGTGTGCCTCCATTCCCCCTCCCCCTATGCCAGGGGCTCTGTGTGCCCCCTCCCCCATGCCAGGGGCTCTGTGTTTCCCCCTTCTCACGTCTTGTCCCCTTGGGTCAGGGCATTGACATTTTAAATGCCAGAGGAACACGGGGGAAAAGATGACTGGGTCCTTTTGAGATGCTGGCAGGGGTTAATCTGGCCCCAGGGCGGGGCACTGACTGAGTCAGGGGGATGGGGAATGGGCCCTTTCCTCTCTAGAGGTGCCGACTCCTGTCTTAACCCAACAGCCACACGCCATTCCCCATCCAGGGATCGGTGAGATGCAGCTGCCTCTGGGGTGGAGGGGAGGGGACCTGTCAGGTTGTGGCCATTTCCTTGCCATTTCAAAAGGGGCCTCGCAGTCCACATCAAAGCCCCCAGCCATGCGTGGGGCCAGGACTGGGCCGCAGACACAGGCAGGATGGTGTGGGCTTCTGGGGCCCAACTCTTTGTGGCCACATGAGTCACGGGCTGCAGGTAAGCACAGGCTACACCAGGATGTGGGCAGACGCACCCCCAGCAGACAGCCCTCCGCAGCTCCCACCCCTCCCAGTGGAGAGTACGAGAATCGAGACCACAGAGGCCAACACAGCTCTTGGGGCAGAGGGACATCAGAGCGGTCATGCTGAGCCCTATGCAAAGTGAAACAATTACCATCTGGATTCTTTTATAGGTGGGGAAATTGAGGCACAGAGAGGGCGGGCCTAGGTCACAGTCAGGGAGCAGGTGATAGAACCCAGGAGTCCTGCCTCCTTGCCCCTCCTTCCCAACCCACCAGCCCCCACTTCCCTCCCAGAGCTGGGATAGAACCCAGGCGTCCTGGCTCACAACTCCCCCTGCTCTAACCACTGACCCCACTCCCCTCCCATAGTCCAGGACAGAACCCTAGTGGGTAAAACCTGTGTGGCTTGTGTGACAGACACAGAAGAAGGAAGGACACTGGGAGCCTTTGCAATGGAAACAAGGCCATGGAGACATTTACTGTACCCATTGGACATATGCCTTTCCTGTCCGGCCCCAGAGCTGAGGGGCTGGTTGGAAAGGGACATGGGGCCTTTCCCCTCTAGGGGTGCCAGCTTCACGCCATCCCCAGGGCAGGGGCTTGGCAGGCTCAGGTGGGTGAGAATGGGACATGGGGCCTTTCCCCTGTAGGGGGCAACAGACCCCCGTCTCCCCCACCACAGCCAGCCCCTGCCCAGGTGTCCCCCAGGCAGTCAGCTTCCACCCTGGCCCCCTGCTGGCTGGCTCAGGCAAGTGGATTATGGGATTCGGGGCCTTTCCCATCAAGGGGCCACTTCTCTGATCCAGCCCCAGGTTGGGGGGGATTTTACCTTGTATTTTGATAAGGGACCCCCTGGCTGACAGACTGCTTTTCTTCTAGCTAGAACAAACTATCCTCTGGGGGGAAAGGAGCTGTGGGTGGACCTGCTGGGGACGTTGCTGCTGCTGGAAAAGGCCGATCCCGTCTCCCAGAAGACCCAACAAGATGAACACACATGGAAGGGGATGGAAAAGACCAGCAGAGAGAGTAAAATTGAGCTGCTGACTCAGTCTTGTAGCCTCATAGCCGGAGAAACAAGGCCCCAGACCCCGCCCTGACCAGCCACTTCAAGGCCTGGCAAACTCGTCCCAGCAGTGGGCCATTTTGGTAGCCAATTTTGATTGGACGTATTCCTGGAGGGCTCATCACATGACATAATCTTTGCAAAAGATGCAGAATGGGCCAGCTGAGCCGGACTCTTCTCCGAGAGGCGAAAAGAGCGAGAGAAAGAGGTGAGAGAAGAAAGAAGAGGGGGAAGGAAAAGATGAGCATGAGGGAGGGGGAGGGAGCTGGAAGTTCATGTCTCACCTCCCGGGCTGGGTGTGAGATTTAGCCAGAGCCAGCGGAGGTGGCAACGTCACCCGGGTCCCTCTGTCCGGCCTGATTCCAGCTCAGCTCCAAGGCCCAGGACAATGAAGCCCCAGTGATGTCATGGCAGTTGGATCGTGAACCCTCCAGGATCCTCCTAGAACCTCCAGGAATGAAAGATTAATCTTTCATTAAAAATTATGTCTTGTGATGAAACCAGAATCGGCAACCCTGCCTGGTGGAGTCCAGGAGATGGTACAGGTGGGTGCCATTATGGTGAAACTTGCTCCCATATGTCCACCCGGCCTCTTCATCACCACCCCAGAGGTCTCTCCAAAAGGGGGAGGTGGCCAAGCTAGTCCCTCTCCTCCTGATTTTGTCCACCAATTAGGCCTCCAATTTTATTATCTGCCAGGGACTTCCACCATTAAGATAATGTTTGATCCCGGCAGTGTGCTCTGTGGATATATAGCAGGAGTTGGGAGGGGGCGTTTGTCACATGTAACCTACGATCTCTGTGGTCTTGGGAAACCAGGGTGCAGTATCCAGCCTGTCTGACTCATGAAGGACCTCCCCCCACCCGCCCCACCCAACCTCTGCTTGAATCAAAACTGCTCAGAAGAAAGACTTACCCAAGCCCCTCCAGACAAGGGTGAGAGGATTAAGGCAACTCCCCTAGTCTCATTTACATCAAAGATGGGACAGGGAGGCACCTCCATTAGCATAGAGAATGGAGAACAGAAATTCCAAGGCAAGAACTGTGCTGAACTCTGGGACCAGAAAAGCATGGAAGGACTGCATGATGGGAAATCTCTGCTCCAGATGTTAAAGAACCCACGCCTGCCCACACCCAGCTCAGTAGTTATCTGACCAATTCTAGTAATAAATCATCTATTGGTATCCAATATACTGAAGCTGCCTAATTGCATTATGAGCTCCCTCGAAGGAACACCGCCCATAGCCAGGAATGATCAGTTCTTATTGTCTAGCCTGAATAAAACAGCTTTGATATACTCCCTTAAATCATCAGTTTACCCACCAAGAATTCTAGTGTTCTCCCTTGAACCATTTTTCATTTTCTACAAAACCCCCTATACACACTCAACTAAGTGTTCTGATGCCTGGATCCAAAATCTGCATCAATTACATTGGGACGTTATCTTCTCATGACTGATGGCTCTGGGGGCTCTGCCTGTCTCCAGCACTCCAGACCCTCATCTACCACCACCACCTGGGAAACCCAATCGATTCAAGCTTCATAAAGAGGTGGGAACCCCACCCCCAGTCTCTCTTAAGTGTTTTTGGCTTCCCCATTCGCTCTGCAGCAACTCTCCTCGTACCTAAGCTAAAGACCCCTGTGTGATGGGTTGGGTCAAAGAAACTCCCTTGGGACTGCCACCTGATGTGCTGAGACTACCTCTGAGCCTGTTTTCCCTGCCAGCTTGGGACTTCAGTAGCCTGTCTTGTTGAGCCAGACACGCTAGCCTGCTGCAAACACAGACCCAAGTCTGAACCACGGCCCCCAAAGCTGCATGCTTAACTGAAAACAGCTTAAGAAATTCTCCTGTCTCTAGCACCCAGACACCGAGCCCCCAATGGGATCCAAACCCCAAATAAATCCATTTTACTCTGTATAAAGTTTATACAAGGTCAACTCATAAATTGTCCGCCCCCTATAACACTGATAGAGAGATATGCATAGCTGTTTGCTCCCCCAGGAATTAATTACTTACTCTGTGTTAATTAATAAGGAAAAGTGATTTTATTAAATATAAAAAGTAGTATTTAAGTGGTTCCAAGTAATAATAGACAGAACAAAGTGATTTACCAAGCAAACTAAAACAAAACCACGCAAGTCTAAGCCTAATACATTAAGAAACTGATTACAAATAAAATCTCACCCTCAGAGATGTTCCAATAAGCTTCTTTCACAGACTAGTCTCCTTTCTAGTCTGGGCCCAATCCTTTCCCCTGGTACAGTCCTTGTTCCAGTTAGGTGGTAGCTAGGGGATTTCTCATGACTGCAGCCCCTTTGTTCTGTTCCACCCCCTTATACGGCTTTGGCACAAGACAGGAATCTTTTGTCTCTCTGGGTCCCCACCCCTCCTTCTAAATGGAAAAGCACCAGGTTTAAGATGGATTCCAGTGCCAGGTGACATGGTCGCATGTCCTGTGAGACCACAAGCCTTCATTCTTCCCTGGCCTGACTCACAGGAAGGCCTGCCTGGAAACAGAGCCATTCACAGATAATTGTCCTGGTTGATGGGAGCCATCAAGATTCCAAACCATCATTAATGGCCCACACTTTGCATAATTACAATAGAGTTATATTTTATATTTCTAGTTTCAGATACAAGAGTGGTACATTTATACAAATAGGATGATCACACTCAGTAGATTATAAACTTTGTAATGATACCTTACAAGAGACCTTTTGCATAAAGCATATGAGGGTGGTAGCTTGGAAGTGCTGATCAACCCAGTCCGCTAAGTCTAAGGGCATATGAGGGTGATAGCTTGAAAGTGCTGCTCAGCCCAACCTACTGAGTCGAGGGACATATAAGGGGTCAACTTGGGAGTTCTGATTAACCCAGTCCTGATAGACACGCTCTGTGTGTGTGTGTGTGTTCAGACTGGGTTTCTCTCTCCGTGAGAGAGATATCAGGGCAGTTCTGCACAAGGTACAGGTTTGTCAATCCTTATTGGACCCTGCTGGGCATACGGGGAGAAGACAGGGCCTTACCAGGCGACAACCAGGTAGGAATGCAGGGAAGGGGAGTTTTCTGTGCTGATCCCAGTTTTTCGTGCTATCTAACCTAAATCTCCCTGGCTGCAGATTAAACCTGTTGCTTCTTGCCCTGCTTTCTGTGGCCAATGAGAACAATTGATCCCCGTCCTCTTTATCCCAGCCGTGACCACATTTAAAGACTGTTCCCAAGTCCCACCTTCTTTTCTCAAGACTAAACATGGCCAGATTATACTTAATCTTTCCTCACAGGTCAGGTTTTCTAAACCTTTCTCATTTTTTTTGCTCTCCTCTGGACTCTCTCTAGTGTGTTCACATCTTACCTAAAGTGCGGCTCCCAGAACTGGGCATCGTTCTACATTGAAGGCCTCACCAGTTCTGAGTAGACCAGGACAATTACCTCCCACATCTTACGTACGACACTCCTGTTTGTGCACACCAGAAAATTCACTTTTTTCTCACCCAAATCATACTCTTGACACATATTCAATTTGCAATTCACTGTAGCCTCCAGGTCTGTCCCGACACTCAATCCTCCTCAAACTGAATGTTTGGAATGATGTGAAAACCTGATTTTCATGTGGTTGGCTGGCTGTACAAAATCTCAGGGGGGGAAATTTCGTTTTGGGAGGGGATAATCATAAAGCCTCCCTAGATGCCTACACTGAGTCAGACTACTACACATACTGAAGGAACTGATGTTAAAGGAGCAGCTCCTCAGGGACTGTAGATGCACGGAGAAGCATCGCCACCTATTGGTGCATATTAAATTTTTTATTAAAGCTAATGTTTAAAATCAAATGTACACAAGTTAAGGACATCTGGGGTCAGGCTTGAGTTATGAGAGATTACAAATATCAGTTACAAGGTTCACAAGGTACATACATAGTACATAATCAGTATAGGCCCAGGTTGGGGAGCATACTACAGCAGGCCTAACAGGAGACACATTCAAGTTACTTCAGTGATGAATGACCCTGAAGTACTCACCCAGCACTGAGATGCAGCCACCTCTGGGGAGAGGCAACTGGGGAACAGCCACAAGGTGATGTCACACCAGGAGGGCTTGCCCAGTGCTGAGATGCAGCCACCTCTGGGGCAGAGCACCTGGGGAACAATCTTTGCACATAGGGAGCCACATGCGCCGATCACACAAGAATCAAACCTTTTGCAACACGGGACATTTTTAATAGTGCTTCATTTATCATTTGTTTTTACAAAATACAAGTCAGGCCAGGTTTCATTCAATCACCAAAGCAACTGGAAAAGTCACTGCACGTTGCCGCTCAGAGGTTAAGAATTAGAACTCCTGGGTTCTAGCCTCGGATGCAGGAGGGGAGTGGGGGCTGGTGAGATAGAGCAGGGAGGGCTATGAGCTAGGACTCTTGGGTTTTATTCCCAGCTCCAGAAGGGGAGTGGAGTTGGTTGGAGCAGGGGGGGCTGGGACTGATGAATCCTGGGTTCTATCCCTGGCTCTGGGAGGTTCAGTTGGGTTTAAAGGGGAGAGAAGGGAGCTGATCCAGTCCCTTACTCTCTCAGCAGCCAAGAACAGTGCGGTGTTGGACAAAGAACAGGAGCAGATGCTGGAAAGCGGTGAGACGGAGGTGTTTGTCTCTAATGTGAGTGCCGGGGGGGGAATGGGGGGCAGGGTATGTCCAGGAATTAAAGATGAATCTTTCATTAAAGATTCTGTCATGTGATGAAACCTCCAGGAATGCGGCCAACCAGAATCGGGAACCCTACCTGGTGGAGTCCAGAAGACAGTAGAGGTGGCTGCCCTGATGGTGAAACTTGCTCCCATCTGTCCACCCGGCCTCTTCATCACCACCCCAAAGTTCTCTCCAAAGGGGGCAGTGGCCAAAATAGCTCCTGCTCCCGATTTTGTCCACCAATCCGGCCTCAGTTTCACCCCCCCAGATTTGATCCCTTCCATTCTCCCCGTTCCATTCTCCTTCTGAATCATGCATATCCAAGCCAGGAGGTGCCGCCAGGACCAGAGGAAGGAGACTAGGCCCGGCTCGCTCAGCCGCGGCTGCCCTCTTGGAAGCTAGGCAAAAAGCAGGGATCAGGACACGTGCCGAGGTTCCCTGGGTGAAAAGCTTAATATCTGCCATAGTGATTTATGGCTAAACCCTGCCATGGCTGCAGCTGATGGAGGAACAATGGGGGTGTCTGCTGGCGGGCAGCTGGTCCCAGCACCTGGCCCACTTTGGGTCCAGTGAAATTCTATTCCAGCATTATCTGCTAGGGACACTCACCAGTAAGGTAACGTTTGAGCCCCACAGGTGGCTCTTGGGAGCGCTGGTCACCCCAGCGGTGACGGAACCTCTGAAGCGAGCTCTGAGCCCCTTGCATTAGACTGGGATCCTGTCTCTGTAAGAGAGATCAGGGCAGAGCTGTGCGAGGGGCCGGTTCAGAAATCCTCATTGGCCCTTGCTGGGCGTGCGGGGAGAAGACAAGGCCCTACAAGGTGACAGCCGGGTAGAAATGCAGGGGAGGGGCCTTTTCTGTGCTGATCAAAGCTTTTCCTGCTCTCGTCTAACCTAAATCTCCCGTCCTGCCGATTAACCCCGTTACTTCTTGTCCGACCTGAACAGTTGATCCCCGTCCTCTTTATACCAGCCCTGAACATATTTAAAGACTGTTCTCGAGTCCCCCTTCTTTTCTCAAGACTAAACATGCCCAGTTTTTTTAACCTTCCTTCACAGGTTTTCTAAAGCTTTTCTCATTTTTGTTGCTCTCCTCTGCACTTTGTGTGTCCACATTTTTCCTAAAGGCTTTTTTGCAACTGCATCACAGTCTTCACTCATTCAATTTGTGATCCACTGTAGCCCCTGGTCCTTCCCCACCCCAAATCCTCCTCAAACTGAATGACTTGGAGTGATGCCAAAAACTCAGGGTACGGGGAGATTTTAGTTTGGCTTAATATGAAAAAAATTCAATTTTTTGGCAAAGTGAAAGCACATGAAAATATCATGTTTGGTCAAATAAAATGCTGTGAGGGTTTTTAAAAATAAAATGGGAGATTTTGATTGGAATTGGAATATCAAAACGTTTAAAATTTTTTGACCATTTTGGGGGAGCGAGAAACAATTTTCTGAAGTTGACACAAATTTGCTAAATTTCTTCTGTCAACTTGAATCTGTATTTTTTGATGAAAATTTTTGCCCAGTTCTAGCTGGGACTTCAAGGTCACCAGCTTCAGCCCCCTCCTGGGTTCTACCGCCAGCTCAGGGTCTGGTGGGTCAGAGTGGTGGTGTTGGGAGCCAGGACTCCT